TCTGTAATCTCTGCTAGACCAATGGTTCCATAAAGGTAGGGACAGTGTCTTTAATTTCCACCTGAAGTGCTCGTTCCAAATCATTAATCCACGACCGGGTGTGGTGTCTCACACCTGTAATCCCAGCACTTTGGGAGTCTGAGGCAGGCAGATCATGAGGTCAGGAGTTCGAGACCAGCCTGGCCAACATGGTGAAACCCTGTCTCTACTTAAAATACAAAAATTATCTGGGCGTGGTGATCCAAGCCCATAATCTCAGCTACTCGGGAGTCTGAGGAGGGACAATCGCTTGAACCCAGGAGGCGGAGGTTGCAGTGAGCTGAGATCAATCCACTGCACTCCAGCCAGGGCAACAGAGTGAGATTCTGTCTCAAAAAAAAAAAAAAAAAAAAATCCAACACTTAGCAGCAGCAAACTACATATGTTGTACTGGACCAAGCATAGAAAATTAACACCAAGACAAAAGTATGCCAGATTGCAGGGTCATTTATTATGCCAGTGACCACAGAGGACTCATGTCTCTCCAACCTGTGGCATCGAAAGGAGGGTGCCACGACTTTTTATACCCGAAAAACCACCTTGGGAGTGGGGGTCAGGAGCGGGGATGGGGATGAAAAGGCTTCAGGCATTCTGAGGGTTAGTGGATTCTGTAAATTACCTCCTGGGCAGAGATGAGGGTGGGGGTCTCCGGACATTCCAAGGGCCAGGGGACTTTTGTCATTCCTTGTTACTTCAGTGGTTTATAGAAGTCAAGATAAACATTTGTTTACACGTTGTCTGGGTAGTGATAAAGTCACAGATCTTAGTTACTTATTACAAGTCACAGGAGCCAGGATGGAATTAGCTTGGGCTGCTTATTTTGGTTATTACCGGTAAGCAAAGGCTAGCAATTCTGGCAGTTACTGATAAGAAAAGGTAAGCAGCTTTACATAGTTTGCAGGACAAACTAGCAGTTGTATTTGCAGAAGCCAAGGCCAGCAGTTATTGTGAGGAGAATGGGGCAGCCGTTGCAACTTATTTTAAAAACAGTTTTGTATTTTATAAAATGGCTTTGCTCAGGTTCGGGCTCTAGGCTAGCACACATAGCCTACCCTTGGAGCTTAATATTTTTTAAAAGAATGACTGTTATGAACCCATCTGCACTCTTACCCATGAAACCAATGAAAAAAGTATGTGAAAGCATCACAACTATTACAAAATGGCTTATCTCGTGAAGAATGCAATCCATGACCATCAAACAGACAACAGAGCAAATACAGAGCCTTAAACACAATTGTTCTGTGTTGTAGCCGCGGGACGGGGCGTCCTTCCCCATGCTGCCAAGTCACTCACCGTGAAAATAGTGGACCTTGAGTTACCGTCAGACAGTCTAACCATACTCAACAATCGCAATCTGCGCAACGGCTAGCCTTAGAAAATAAACAGCTAGAGAACGTGCATTTTGTCCTTAGTTCCCAGCACTTGTTTTCTCTCTTTGTTGGATCATTTCCATTGGTGATGATGCCCTTTTCTGAGGTCCTCAGATATTTGCCAGCTCTTTCCTTCCAATAATTTCTCTTAGAACATCATTCCCTCTTAGCGTGAATTTAAGTAAGTGGGTCTTTGCATTTTAAGCATTTTCCTCAATTTGGAACACAAGATACTGCCTCCTGTTAAATATTTTCAATGTTAGCAAACACATGTTGAGGATAACATGTGATGAACACGTTTAGAATGGCACATGTGTTAAGGATAAAACACATTAAGGATGGCATGTGATTAATCTATGTTAGGGATGACAAACATATTCAGGCAGGCAGAGGTTTTCTCTACTTAAACTCCATCCTAAGCATTGTGCTGTGAGTTAGGGCCCAATCTACTTTATTCTGAGGTCATTTTTGCTTTGTTTTTTTTTTTGTTTGTTTGTTTTTTTGAGACGGAGTTTCCCTCTGTCACCCAGGCTGGAGTGCAGTGGTGCGATCTTGGCTCACTGCAACCTCCACCTCCTGGGCTCAAGCAATTCTCCTGCCTCAGCCTCCCAAGTATCTGGGAATACAAGTGCCTGCCACCATGCCTGGCTAATTTTTGTATTTCTTTCTTTCTTTCTTTTTAGTAGGGGTGGGGTTTCACCATGTTGGCCAGGCTGGTTTCGACCTCCTGACCTCAGGTGACCTGCCCGCCTCGGCCTCTCAAAGTGCTGGGATTACAGGAATTTTAGAGTGGAAAGTAAACTTGAAGAAAATCTAGTCTCCTCTTTTTTTTTTACAGGTGAGTCTATATAAGTTCAACACAAAGATGAAATTCCTTATTCAAACTCATAAGTAACAGAGGTTGGTGGTTAGCAGATAGATAACACTGAAATCGTTTATCGTGTGGAAAGAATGCATGAGGGATGAATGGTACTAGGGTTGGAGTCCGGGTTTTCCAGAAAGTAGGAGGCGCTTTCTCCTTACACTGCGTGCTGACATTCCATACGTTTCTGTAATCCTAAATTTAGAGGCACTGAGCCAATTGCTTATTTTCGATTTCCAGCAATCATCACTTTTGGTTTATGATGAATTCTGAAATAAAGGTTTTCCAAATGCATGTATTATGTCCATGACATGCAACCCTGGAAAACACCATATTTGGTTAAATCACTTCATATTTTTCTTTCAAGGGTAAAAGTACTTTGAGATCTCTGTATTTGTTTGCCAAGGCCATGGTAATAACGTATTGCAAACTGGGCAGATTAGAAAAAAAGAAACGCATTATCTTGCCATTGTGGAGCTTGGAAGTCCAGAATCAAGCTATGGCAGGGGTGGTTTCTTCTGAGCTTGAAGGCAGAGTCTATTCCATTTCACATCCTGAGGTTGTGGTTATGGACGGGCAACCCTTAGCATTCCTTGGCTTGTAGAAGTTCCAATCCCAATATTTCCTTTATTTTCACATGGCATTTTCCCTGTATGTGTATATCTATCTCTGCATCCACATTTTCCTTTTTTATGAGGACATGAGCCATACTGGAGTAGGGCCCACCCAATGATGCCATTTTAGCTTAATTATACCTGTAAAGACTTTATATCTCCAAATAAAGTCACAATCTGCAGTATTGGGGGTTAGGACCCCAATATATCTTTTTGGGGAGACACAAACCTTTGAGACTCGATATTTATTTGATTGCCCTTCTATGTCTCAGTCACAATCTATTCTGATTTCTTAAAAAATCACTGTTGAATTTCACTAAAACAATGAATTTCACTATATATAGGATGTGGTTTTGTAACATAGCAAATTGCATAGACAAGTTCGGATTTTTAATTTCTGTGTTGGAGTATTTGTGTTAATATAAACTGAGACTACCTGTGGGTGTTACAATTAGGTTTACTGCTACTCAAAATAATTGTTTGTAAATGTTTGGGCGTTTGTTTATCTAGGTTATCCATCAGTGACATTGCATGCTATGGGAACATACTCTTAAGCAATAATTACTAGACTTACACAGCCTCTATCTTCAAAGATGTAAAAACACGATAACCTTCCAGTGTCTCATTTTCCTGGCCACTCACAATAGGGTTAATGATACCCAACGGTCTCCCCTAAGATCAGAGATGTCGTGATGACTTATTAATATGTATCACCTGTAAAAGGAAAATAATATCTTGGGAACCCAAATCACCAAGCCAAACGGAAAAGTCAAGTTGGGAACTGTGTCAAACCTGCCTCCCATTTTATTCCTAAGTAAGGCAGCTATCAAGATTTTTAAAAGCTAAATAGCTTCCTCACAATTTGTCCACAAGGACATTCCTCATGGACCTAGGACAGACAGAACTCAAAGTCATCCCTTGAGGCTCACAGGTGAGACAAACGCATATCTGATCCCTCTCTCCGCCCTACTGTTTCACTGAGTCAGAGGAAGGAATCAGTGACTGTTCCCCTACTTTCAAATGTAAATTGTGTGTTCAGTGACAAAGTCTAATCAGAGACTCAAAACAATGCAACCATTTGCTTCTTATCTACGAAGCCCCACTTCGATTACACATCTTGGTGGGTGTCTCATGTCTCCCTAAAACGTATAAAAGCAAGTTGTTTCTCAACCATGTTGGGCACATGTCCTTGGGACCTCCTGAGGCTATATCATGGGCACACCCTTAACCTTGGCAAAATTAACTTTCCAAATTGATTGAGACCTGACCCGGATATTTTGCGTTCACAGATCCAAATTCTCCCTAGAAGAGAGGTGATGCGCAGAGCGTGTTTGTGTCTGTCATTTCTGTTATTACCTTTGTTCTGGTTCCTCTGGGCTCATCAATAAGGAGGTGCTTGTTTACCTGTAGCCCAGAACTGGCTGCCCTGGTGGAAAGCCTGGGGTAGACTCTACCTGACTTCTTCTCACTGTATTACCTGCCCCATTGCTTCCAAAGCCTTAGTTTGTTCAAGCACTGCAGCTGTTTATTTAGCATTTTTTTTTCAGAGCCCGTTAGGAGGCAGAGGAGATTTGAGTCTGTTTGTATTCGTGATATAAGAGAAAAATAGAGGGAGCAGGTGAAGGGAGGAAGAGAGGCTCTGAGAAACTGGGAAGGTCAGACTTGGTGCAGGCTTCCTCCAAAGCCCACCCCAGCCTCTCCACTAGGCACCACGCCATCGCCTGCAAGCCCCGCCCCCAAGGCCCACTGCACCGGCAGCGCCGCCCACTAGGCTCCACCCCATTACCTGCAAGCCCCGCCCCCAAGGCTCAGCTCCCCTACAAGCCCCTCTCCCACTAGGTTTCACTCTTCACCTACAAAGAGCCACCGCTCACTAAGCCCCACCCCTCACTTGCACAGCCCCGCCCAACATAGCACGCCCCTCTTCACCTGCGCAGCCCCTCCCTCGACCAGGCCCCACCCAATCGGCAGAGGCACGTCTCCCGCCACGCCCCACTGTCCTCTGTGCCCACGTCCCCCTCCTATCATCTGCGCCCATCCTTCTCCTGGCCGCACCCCGCCCCTTTCTAACGCGAACCACGCCCCTCGCCTCGGCCCGCCTCCTTCGGCCCGCCGGCCCCGCCCCTTCCGCCCTCCTCCCTGCTCACCTTCCTCCTTCCCGCCCTCCTTCCCTCCCTGTAACAGGGGTGGCCGCCCTTTTCCCCTGCAGCCTATCGCAGAGGGCGTCGCCGTCCACGCTGACCAATAGGAGTGGTGGCCGGCACCGCGAGCCCCGCCCCGCGCCTGCGTCGGGTGAAGTGGGCTCCCTGGCGAAGCCAGTGCAGGTCTGACGCCATGTGGCGCTGCGGCGGGCGGCCGGGCCTGCTGACGCTGAGGCGGCTGGGCGGCGGGTGAGACGCGGCGCGCCGGGACCCGGGAGGGGAAGGTCTGGGGCGAGCCGGGGCTCCCGCGTCCGCGGCCCGAGGACCCCGGAGCTCCTGCCCGCTCCCGGGGGCGGCACCTCGGGCCGCGGGGCCCTCCGTTAGCGTGGGCTCGAACCCGGGCACTGGCTGATGGCGTTGCCCCCCGGTCACTTCAGAGACCCGAGGCGCCCGCAGCCCACGCGTTAGAATCAAAGTCCTGCTGTGTTCGGGGAACTGGAGCCTCCCGGAACGGAACTGTTCTGTTTTTTTAGGGACTCAGTTTATGGGGGAAAAAATGACGAAGCGGTTTGGCGTTCGCGGTAACCCACGAGCCCGTGTTTAATAGAAGGTAGCGTTCGGCGCCGCCGGCGCGGGCCTGGAGACGCGGGGCGTCCGTGGCGTGGGTTCGGCAGCAGCAGGTTTCTGGAAAGTTCGCGGGAGGCCCTGGCCTCGCCGCTCAGGGCTTTCCTATCACGTCCTTGATGATCAGTAATTTCTTAAAATGTTGCTCAGGCTCTTAACTCTGAAATTTGCGAAGTCAGTCGGCAAATGTCGAGTATTCCTTCATAACCTTGCCAGTGACTGAATAGGCGTTTTTTCCCCCCGTACGCATCGTCTTTAAGTATTTAGGTGGGTTATATTGATGCAGAAAATCCCGTAAGACGTACAATTTGAGAAAATAATACTTTTATCAAGAGAAGGGATCTTGCTATGTTGCCCAGGCTGGCGTTGAACTCCTGGGCTCAAGTGATCCCCTTCCGCAGCCTCTCAAATTGCTGGGATTGCAGGTGTGCGTCATCTCACCCAGCTGAGAATAATTGTGAGAAAGTAAGTAGGTTGGGGGCGGTGGCTCACCCCTCTAATGCCAGCATTTTGGGAGGTCAAGGCGGGTCGGGGTGGGGGGTGTAATACCTGAAGCCAGGAGTTTGAGACCAGCGTGGCCAACATGGTAAAACCCGCCTCTACTAAAAATACAAAACTTAGCAGGGCATGGTGGTGAGTGCTCATACTCCCAGCTATTTGGGAGGCTGAGGCAGGAGAATCTCTTGAATCCAGGAGGTGGAGGTTGTGCCATTGCACTCCAGCCTGGGCAACAGAGCAAGACTCTGTCTCTAAATAAACAAATAAATATACTTTCCCCATGACCAAGCTGAAGGTTGCCCCTAACTGCTCATAACCCTCTCCCTCCCTTTTAATTATCATTGTCTTGACTTACAGAAATGTCCTTGCTTTTTTTTTTTTTTTTGGAGACGGAGTTTCGCTCTTGTTACCCAGGCTGGAGTGCAATGGCGCGATCTCGGCTCACCGCAACCTCCGCCTCCTGGGTTCAGGCAATTCTCCTGCCTCAGCCTCCTGAGTAGCTGGGATTACAGGCACGCACCACCATGCCCAGCTAATTTTTTTGTATTTTTATTAGAGACGGGGTTTCACCATGTTGACCAGGATGGTCTCGATCCCTCGACCTCATGATCCACCCGCCTCAGCCTCCCAAAGTGCTGGGATTACAGGCGTGAGCCACTGCGCCCGGCCCTTGCTTTTTCTTTATATTTTACCACCTATATGCAGTCTGACAATACCTTGCTAACCTGTTTGAATAGTACCTCTTGAGGATAATCCTGTATCGTGTACCTTTCGTTTCACATGATGTGACCCACATCTTTGTTACGTGGAGCTGTAGGCACTTTACTTTATTGGTCCTTAGGGTTTTTGTTTACTGAATGATTAGTCTGCAGTTTATCTGTTCTCTGCGGACACACACCTGGGTGAGTTGAGTTTGGGACTGTCAGGGTTCGTGCTGACACTCTTGTCCGTGTGTGCCGGGGCAGTGGTGTGCGGTGTGGAGGTGAGTGTCTCCGGTCTTCAGCTTTGCTAAAGAATCCAACTGCCGGCTGGGTGTAGCGGCTCACGCCTGTAATCCCAGCACTTCGGAAGGTCTAGGCGGGTGGATCACGAGGTCAAGAGATCGTGACCATCCTGGCCCCAACATGGTGAAACCCTGTCTCTACTAAAAATACAAAAAATCAGCTGGGCCTGCTGGTGCACGACCTTAGGCCCAGCTACTTGGGAGGCTGAGGCAGGAGAATCGATTGATCCCGGGACGTGTAGGTTGCAGTGAGCCGAGATCTCGCCACTGCACGCCAGCCTGGTGACAGAGTGAGACTCCATCTCAAAAAAAAAAAAAAAAAAAAAAGAATGCCAAGTGCTTTTCCAAAGTCGTTCTGCTTTATACTCCCTGTAGTAGTGTATTGTAGGGCTGAAGGCCCCCAGGGTTGTGGGGTGTGCCTTATGCTGTGCTGAGGCGCAGGACCCGAGAAATAAAGAGACAGGACACAGAAGTACAAGGAAATTGCAGCTGGGCTCGAGGGGCCACGCCACATATGAGCAGAGTCAGGCGAGGCCCCCGAATGTCCAGAAGCGTGAGTATTTATTGTGTATAGGTTAGGAGGCAGGGCAGTGAGTGAAATCATCTTTAAGGATAGTGATAGGGTCGTGAGCAATAAAACAAGGGGTTCATCCCCATTAGGTCACCGAGGCTAGAAGGTGGGCCCTGCGCAGTGAGAGGGTGCAGTGTGCAATACTTCTGTCTATGGGCAAACTACTTCTAAGGTTTATGGGGGGGATGCTTTAAGTCACACAGTTGTAACAGAGCTGTCAGGGTTACCGCCACCTGCTGGCAGCTTCCAATGAGTTCTATGGGAAGATGCTTTTCGAGCAGCACAGTAGCAGGAGCTGATTGATAAAGTTCACAGTTACCAAGGTGGATTGCCGGTCTGAGGGCAGCCTTCCACAAGAACTGGAGCAAGGTCCTACAACTCCTTTATCAGGAGGAGTGGCTCTCGCCGCAAGCCTGCCATACTGCGGGTATCTTTACGATACTGAACACTGCTGCCTGGGCCATGGATTCTTGTCCTGGTTTAACTGTTTTCCCTTAAATCATGCTCTGCACTGTGTCTGCTCTAGGCGTTCCTCTGACTATAAGCTGCTTATTCCTTAATTCATGCTCTGTACTGTGTCCACTCTAGGCATTCCTCCGATTATGAACTAAAATATTATTGTGTGTGTGTGTGTGTGTGTGTGTGTGTAAGTGTAAATACTCTTCAGGTACTCAGACTGTGAACCATTATATGATTATATATAGAGGATTAT